AATAAAAAAAATGCGTAAACTGCAGTACAAATTCCTTGGCGTTATTAAAAATATAGATTAACAAATTGAAAACGTATTGCCAATAAATTAACAACTATCTTATATAAGTCTTTAAAATATCTTGATACGGAAGTACATGAACTAAAAAATTCTAAATAATATAATTCTTTTTGCGTTTACTTATTTTTATTAACTTTAACTGGGTATTTCAAAAATTATTATTATATATTATTAACGTTTTTGTTACTAATATTGTTATTATAATTATTAATTATTAAATATCTGTGTCAAACTAAAGAAACACAAATCAAATCCGTAACTTTAGTAAAGATGTTTCCCAATTATTATTAAGTACAAAATTTAATAAATTTATTAATTTTTAATGTTTATTAATAAATTAGTTTTGTTGTGTTTAATGAGATCTGTGAGACTTTTCAAGCATGTGAATGTCAATATCAAATTAAAATCAATTTGTAATTTGTAATTTGCATACAATTAATACAAATCTTTTCCAAATTAAATTATTATTCTTGATAACATGACGTTTATTTCAAATTTATCTATATAGCTCCGTGATTTAGTTGTCAGCTTTACTCAGCTAGTTTAGTTTTCTATGGGTACACAAATCAATAGAAAATTAGCATATGTTAAATTACAGCAGTTCTTAAAGCAGGGCGTATCATTACTTAAAGATTATACGGCTTGGCGTATAAGTTGCTTGTCACGTTTTCTCATCGCTCGCAGCAAGCCCCCTGCCTGAATATTTGTCTAGCAATAAAGGGATGGCTGTCAGCTGCTGCTGCAACTCCTGCTTCTCCTGCTTTTGCTTCGGCTGCCGCTACTCTGGTTCAAGAGCAGGCACTTAAACCCTTTTGACAATGTCACGGGGGGAGCATCAAGTTGATGGTGCTGATGGTTATGCGTGATCATCATGACGATTATTATGATGATGATGATGATGATGCTGATGTCGCTAAATTCAACGCAGCCACATATATAAGTTAGCAAGCAGCAAATATTTTTTAAAGGCATAACATTATTGGAAGAGTAAAAGATAAGTAGCAGAAGAAAATAAATGACAAGTCCCAAAATAGCAGCGAGATGAACTCAAGCATAAAGTAAATGGGGAAAATCAAGGAACGGGCGAACTCGGTTTCAGTTTCTTTGAAATCAAGCAGTCTTTAATGGAGGGTAATGACAACTCGAGTACAATGCTTCATTTAAGTACATTACCAGGGCAGGCAAGCACTTGACTTGCGACTAAATACATTTAAAAGCGGCTTGTAAATTTCTAAGCATCCAGTTAATTTATTTGACAAGCAGCTTGAGGGCAAGACCTCATTAAATCATAAATTTTTAAGACAAATATGCTATTTGTGTTTTTTTTTATTTTTTTTTTTTTTTTTTTGGAGTTGTGGCAGGAAATTGAAAATGCAAAGCACTTCAAGTGACACACACACAGACACACACACACAGACAAAATAAAATATAAATACATAAATATGTGCTTAGTGGAGCTTGGAGGGTGGTGGCAGGGTGCTGTTGCATGGGTACGACGCAACAATAATTTATAAATGCATGAATAAAGGGCGCAGGGCGCTGGTAAATAAAAATAAATAAATAAAAATGGCAATGCGGCATAAAATGTGCCGGGAAGCGACGAGAACGACGCGCAAAAATGTAACTGCGGCGCGTTTATTTTATTGCGTATACGCGTTGTGATACAGCCCCAAAAAGTAGGCACCAGAATTGCCCCGCGCCATGTGACTTATTTGCTCATGTGTGTATGCTGCTGTGTGCGTGTGTCTGTGTGTTGTATATGGCCACAGCAGCAGCAGCGGCTCAACTTATTTTCCACAAAATTAAACCATCAAAAATTTGCCAACAACAATGCTGGGGTAATTTATTTGACTCATGGCGTTTTGCCGGGTTGTTTAGAAAGCGCCAGCCGCAACAGCAACAACAAAAAACTGCCTGAGGCCAGCAGTGCACACACACACACACACGCAAACATACACAGCACACATATACAGCCCGCAAAAAAACACACAAACATTATTTAAAGCAAACACAGAGCGCGGCTTGTGCATATGAGCAGCCCGCAACAGCAACAAAAATTACAAAAACAACAACATGCGCTGTGGTCATGTTGATGACGTGGACTGGGCAAGGGTTAAGACTGCAATAGCGTCGCTGAATGTGGGCTTAAGCCCAACTGGTTGACTTGATGTACACGACGCATACATCAACGGGCAGCAGGCAGCACATAACAAATTGTATACCTATTAAAAACGGGTCAATAGAAGTGTATCAAGGCTTTTGCCAGATGTACGGGTGGATAATCCTAATTAAAAGAGCATATATAACAGTATATATAAGAGTCTATGTAAGAGTATATAAAGTAGTATATATAAGAGTATATACTTGATCAGCACAAATCGTATCGTATCGTAAAAGCAGAAGACTTGAAACTATCAGCTAAAAGTCTTCCATAGCTCGCGCAGATCAAGTTTATTTCAAATTATCGATAGCTCAATCTGTTTACAAGATATCGACAATATTCAAATAATAACCATAAGCATCAAAGTTTTTTCAGGATGTATACCATTTTGTTTAGGGCTAAAGGACAGCTCGCGTACAGCTGGGTACAAGGCATCTGCCAGCCGTGCACTCTTCCGTCTAGAGCACTTTTGCTTGTTATATGTTTTGCTTGCGGGCCCTTTATATACCGCACTTTTTGTGTTGCCAAAAATTAAACAAACTGGGACTGGGCGAATACTGCTGCGCTACACTGTGATGATGAATTGATGTTAATGCCGCCGGGGCTTGTGGCAAATACTCGTTATATGTGGCCTTTGAGTTTCTTCTTTTTTTTTTTTTTTTGTGGCCCGACGAACTTGGCTTTGAAAGGGTTAAGCATTTATTTATTTACATGCACATTTTTTCTGTTTATCCTGCTGTCATTTTTTTTATTTCTCTCTTTCTTTTTTTGTTTTTGTGTGCAGTTTATTAAGTCTCAAGTGGCGATACCCAGTCTCGTGTAGTTGGCCAGCTTCGCTGTGCTTACAGCCAATTTCATGGAAAGTTGCGTCCGCCTAAAGCTGTCGTCCTTGATGGATGGCTTTTGACGCAAGCCAGCCAGCATTTGGCGGCCAATTTGATTTGTGCTGCATCCACAAGCTCAAGCGAAGGCGTGCCAAAGCACCCAGCAGTCAATCGGTGTACACTGCCTGCCTATAGGCACTGTCCCTTGCCCAACTGTCGATTTTGGATGGCTCACACACCGATACTGGCGTAGGGTTTTAAGCATCGAATGGCTTTTGGGTTTTCGTTTTTCTCCTGCAATGTTACGAGACTAACATTCGCATTGGCATTTAGACAGATAAATGCGAGTGCGCATCAACACTCGGCAACACAGCTCAAGAACTGAGACTATGCAAAGCTTGAATATCAGTTTGAGTTGATGTGTTTTTTTGCTCAATAGAGGTGCGTGACGGTGCGGATGGGCTTAAGAGATTCTTAGCTAGGATTCACTATGAATGGGGCAAGCTGTATGCTGTACATGTGAGAGAGATTCCAAAGGCAAATACAACACAAACAATACTCATAGTATAACTAATATCTCACTTTACTTTAAAAAGCTCGACTTTATGCCTTGCTTATTTCAAATATCTATATAAATCCTATTTGTAGACTTGAAAATTGAAAGGTTTTGTCCTAAATACCTGTGTGTGTATAACTTATATTTTGCCGTTCTATCACATTTGATTTAATCATTCTTTTCTCATTTTAATAAACAAATTCATCTGCAAATCAAAAGAGATGTACGCGGGTTCGAATTACTATTTGAGCCAACGACATACCTTTAGGTTCAGTTAACAGGTTCGAATGCAGCTTTATGTTTCTTTTTTTTTTTTAATTAGAATAAAATTAAAAGTGTTTTTTTGTTAACCTATTAACTAAAACAAAGTTGGAATTCGAAGTCTAAAGCGGAACAGCTTGCAGCCTTGGTAAAAAAAACACGAAATCAGACAACTTGTTAACCTTTCATGCGGCATAATTCATAATAATTATTAGAAATCAAAAAAGATAATAATGCTATAAATTATATTTATTGATGTATGCACAAGATTATAAACTTTAATTGCTTTTATTAAATTGCTTAACATTATTGGATAAGTACTTCTATATAAGAAGTTGCATACAATATATGTTTATCTTTCATTCTCTTTCTTACCCGACTAAAAGCTTAGACTGATGTACTTTTGGCTCTGCGAGTGCATTAGGTAGAATTTTACAATGTATTGTGTCTTCTGTCTTGCTGTCAGGGGCAGAGTATACTACATAACATGCCGACAAGCCACATGACGTATACGCCCCGGGGGCTGCGAGTGCAACAATCAGCTGCGTGCTTTCCGGCGCTTATAGCTGCCAACCCCATCACCCAATCTTCCACCACCCGCTTGCCAGATCGTGCATGTCTGTCTGAACTTTAAGCCAATGCTAAAGCGGGTCTTTGCCAATGTCTGTAAGTCGACGAGACGGATATAAATTCTCAGAGAGATAAAAGCAGCAGCAGCAGCAACAGTGGCAGCCAGCGATAAATCTTTAACATGGATTTTGACAGTAAGCTGGCAAAAAGCCACCTTTTGGGCCAGAAATTTAATTTGATAGACCTTTAATACAATTAGCAAGTAATTTGGGCGAATTCCTGTAAGCAAAATTCTTAAAGAAAATTTACCAAACACAGCAACTGCTCGTGAACCAAGACGAAACGAGCCATAAATATTATCAGCGGCGGAAAGTTGACAACCCAAAGCGCTTCCAATAGAAAAAAATCATAAAAAAATCATTAAAAAACATTAAAAAAAAGAAGAAGAAAAAGAAGAGACAGTAGCAGCAGGGCAACCGGCGCATTTAGCAGTAGGCAAACTGGCAGCCAACTGCTGCGCATCCTGCGCCTCCTTTTGTGGCAGGCGCGCATTTCCGTTTGTTATCGCGGCAATGTAAAAGCGTTTCCGCTTAATGCGCGCAAAGGACAACGTCAGCAGTAACAGCAGCAGTAGCAGTAGCAGTAACAGCAGGATTACATACGAATTTCGCAAGGATTTGGAAATGAGCCACCCACCAGAGACACAGTCAGCGGCGCTGCCGACGCCAACGCCGCAGCTGCTGCTGCGTCTGCTCGGCGCGCAGCTGCTGATCCTCAGCATACTGAATGGTAAGTAGAGAGGGAATTCAGTTATGAGGGGGGTAGGGGGAGGGGGTTAAAGTTCAATTTTCAAATATTTATGCACATGATTAAGAGTAAAATTTGTATGAAGGGACGCTTTATATATGTCAGTTGAACACACCTATCATATGAGCCGCGATTTATTTTCGCGAGCAAATTATTTGCTGAACTATTTACGGGCATTGCCAATGGCAACAGCAGCAGCAGCATCAGCAACAATTCAATAAATGCAACAATTTGCATCGACAACAGTCATAAATTTATCTTAAATGAACAAATATTTTCTTGCTGCTGATGCTGCTGCCTGCTAGCCGGGCAAATAAAATGCGATATGGTTATGCAAAAAACTTATCGTTGCCACAAAAGGCGGCAACAACAAATGTATCAACAATAACAATAAATGCTTGTAGTTGGTGAGAACGTGGTTCAAATTTGACAATGCATTTCAATTTGTAATACATTAAAGACAAACTGAATACAGAATCAGAATGCATAATAAATACTTACTGCTATACACACACACAAACAGTCAGACACATACACACACACACACACACACACACAGACGTCGAGCTACGATGTGCATACAAAAACACATTTACAATCAATATTGCGCTCAATAGGGTATGTAAAATACACGTTCTTATGCTCATAATAATCGCACCATTGTTTCATATCAGTTTCCAGTTTCGCAAATACGTATCGTCAATATACCACAATTATTAGTATAATTATTCAGAGCAACAATAAAACGTTTTGTATATCGATTTTAAACAGACATATCACTAAAATTGATTCGCATAAAAATCGCATAGAGAGGCAATATATATTATTTAGCAATGCATTTTTAAAAATAATTGCTGTAAATTTGTTGCCTTGCATATTTGATTAAAATTTTATTGTTGCATGCTCTTAATTAAAGAAATGGAAGGCAAGCAAGCTTAAAGTGATAAAATGAAAAATATATTGCACTAACAACAAATGATACAAATCGAAAATATGCATCTAAATGTTTGCGAATTTTATAAAAGCGTTTCGAAGAACTTTTTTAAAAATTCCCTTGTTGCATTGCGTACGCACTCTGCATCAATTTTTGCAAAAGCAAATTCATTTGTTGATATAAATTCAAGTTTTATTTTGATTATTATCAACCCTTTCTGGAGGGTTTGTACATTTGAAGGGAACATTTTGATTTGTATGTATTTGCTTTGTGGGCAGCATAAAAATATGTCAAATGCGAGTTATGAGCATAAATATAAATAAATGTATAAATGCGTGTGTGTCAGCAAATAAATATATGTAGCTTGAAATGATATGGGGTTGCACCCTCGACCCGGCTGCCACATGCCAAAGCGCATCTTCGTGTGCGTTAAAGTCAATTTACACTTTGCTGTCGCCCAAAAGTCGCGAGTGTCATAAACATGGCCCACATGGCGTATGAGTGCCAAGTAAATAGAAGCCCAGAGCATAGCGCAGACCGAGAAGCTGGCAAATGCAAAATAATTGCATATTTATATGGGCAATCGTAGAAGCTCCGCCCAGACGGCTGCTGGCCCACAGTGCGAGCTGCTGTTGTTGCCGCAATGTCGGAAATATAAATTTGCATTGATGCGACTTTTAATAATCGCAGCAAATGTGCAAACATTTTGCTAAAGATTTGCTGCAAATAAATGTGTATTGCGCAGTGTCAGCATTTCATGCCAATAAAAATTAATTTCAATTAAATAAATACATTATTCAGGATTTTTCGATTCGTTATGCATGTCGAGCATTACTCAATTATATTAGCTTATGCGATTTGTTATTTGAAACTATAGATTAAGCTGATAGCACTTTACACGACTCATTCATTTTCATGCATATTCTATTATTAGTCAGCTATTTTTCACCAATTTGGTATATTCGCAATTTCAAATTAAGTTAAATGTTATGTCATATAACAGAAACTGTTAGGCAATGCCAATTGTTATTGTTGCAAATTAAGCTTAACGAGTTTTAATATACTTTGAACCGAAAAAAATGTAAACTTAACCTCTATATCTTATTCAGAGTTAAATATTTTATATTTTCTAAGTGAATAAATGTTGGTTCTAAGGTATATATATGAGAAACTGAGAGAGCAGTCAAAAAATATCCGTACTGGCTTCAGATTTAGTTCTGTCTGTTCTCATTTTAAGCTTTATATGTCAAGATTGACAATTTCAAGTTTATAGTCGAAATAGATAAGTCTAGCCAGAATTCATATGAGATATACATTACTATTGAACAAGCTATATTAATAATATACGATAAATATAAATCAAGATTTAATAATCAGCTAGTTTTGAGTTCACACAGTTATTTTTGGTATGCTTTGGCTTAACAGAAACTCATCTATGTTGCTTATTTTTGTGGTTTGTTCAAAGCAACTTAATTACCGTCAATTGTGTAGATTGATTGACATTTGCTTTTGGGCACTCAATCGATTGCCTCATTCCGAACGCAAATCCTTTCGCCAGGAACAAAGAGAATTAAAGTTTTGCGCTTGAAACCAATATATGTGCATGTTAAGGCATGGCAGACAGTGAGATGGTAGAGATAGAGAGAATGTTGGAAAGGAATCAAATGAAATTTCAGTTAAAATCACTCAAGAGCATGAATGGCAGCGTTTTATCTCGTCGCGTTTGCTTTTGTTCTCCGGCTGCGGAAAAGGAAGCGCGTTGATAATAATAATGCCAACACTTGGCTTTTGTTTTAGTCACCGCAGAGCAACAACAATGGGAGAAACTGAGCGAGAGAGAGAGGGAGAGCAACAACGAAAATATGACACTTAAATAGCATAAATGCGCCACTAAACAAAACCAAAATCAACGAAAACGGGAACGGGAATGGGAACTGGACGGGAACGGGAACGGGAACGGGAAGAGGGCAAGCAGACAGCGCCAGCAGCGCACAGCTGTCATAATGAAACAGTCAAGGACAATGGCGGCCAGCGGAAATACAAAGTGTACGTGTTCCGTACAGGCCCGGTGACCTCACTACCCCACCCGCCGCCAATCCCCGCCCGGTAGCTGTCTGTCGCACCGTTGCGATAAAAACGCCGAAACGAAATATTGTGGGATGGCTGGGAGGCGGTTGGTGGACGTTGGGCGGGCCATAGCGTTTTGGCGGGGCCATTTATAAGAGCATCAGTTACAATAACACTGCGCGCGATGGTGGGCGTGGCTGGCCGACAACAATAGCCAGGCCATTGTCATAAATTAAAAATGAGGAAGTATATGAAATTTAACAAAAACAAACGACCCGCTGAACAACAGCAACGGCAACGGAAATACAAAAAGCGTTGATAAATAAATTTCTAAAAAAAAAAAAGGAAAATTATGATATAAATAAACAACAACAAAAAAACAGCCCGCACAAAATATGCCAGGCACATGGCATAAGGCCGCAGTTTGACTGCGCCTAAAGTCAAAAGCCGCAACTGTAAAAAATAACAATAAACAAAAAGAAAATATTGCCGCGGGCTAAATAATGCTTAAGCTTGAGTCTAGTCTAGGTCAAGAACTCATATTAAGCGAAACAAACCGCACTTTACTCACTCTCCTTTTCCTCCACTCACTCTCTCTCTCCCTTTCACTCTTACTTAAAGCTGAATTTACAGAATGTCCCAGAATTTCGCCCGCTTTAAGACGTTCTGGTTAAGTCTCAGGCGATTTGAGCGCGTGCCGCAAATTTCCTGGTCACGCGTATTTGAGATATGTCCTTGAGTGTCGTAGCATCAGCAGCTATTTCACCAACACACACACACAATGTCAGCTGCGCCATGCCACTGCTGCAACAACAAAAATCCACTGGCAAAGTCGTGGCTGCCAGCTGCCGACCTGGCATCTATGTCCAAGCCGCAGCGGCTTTGATGGCATTTTATAAAAGAACAACAGCAAAATAGGAGGAGAAACAAGTTAAACATAAATTGTAAACGACTAAAAATATACACTATAATCGCAAACAACTTAACTACTTTTACAATCAAAAAGTAGCTGTCTATATATATATTAAAAATAATATTTTTTTAATAATTATTATTGCTTTTATTATTTTTAATTTGATCATTATTGTTACTAACTTTGTTGCTATTATAACAATAATTATTATTACTTCCAGTATTTTACATTTATTTTTACAATATTAAGTAATATTTCCTAAAAATACATGTACCCTTAGAGATACATATCTTTTGGTAGGACTTTGTATAAAGACTTTTAAATATTCAAAAGTCCCTGGTATTAAGTACATGCTAAATATATATAATATTTTTGTACACTTAAGGGAAAACACTATCTGCAAACAATCACAACCGAACCGAACTTTTAAGTGCAATTGATGTAGGGTATAGGGAATCATAGCAAATGCTATTTTTATCTATGACAGCTCTTGTTTGGTCTCCTGCATTGCTCTGATATTTTTGCGGGCATTTTACTTTATTTTATATAGTATATGTTACAGAAAATATTTTTTTCTGTTGCTTTTCTGATTATTTTTAAGCTGATTTGCTCGCACGGCACGTTTCATTTTTAGTTCAGTTCAGCTCGGTGTAGATTTTTGGGATGGGCTCTCGCCTTTGCGTCATCTTCGGCTTTATTTTTGGCTTTGGGCATTTGTTTAAATTAAAGATTATGCACAAGTGAAAAAAAAAAAACGAAGCAACGGGGCAAAAAAGCATGGCTTTTGAAATTTTAATGTGCGGGCCACGTGGCGTATGATAAATATGACTACTTTGCAACGTCACAGGAGAATAAAATAAAGTTGAATAAACCAAAATACACTGCCGGTTAGTTGTTTAATCTTGACAGGCAAACCTTTGCTTAGAGTCGTGTTAGCTGGCAATGTGCGCCATGTCACAGGTCCTTGCCACACAATGAAGCAAGTAGTAACAGGAAACAAAACACAAAGCACAATTATAAATGAAAATATTCGTCGTAATAAGCCATTTAGCACTCAGTTTTGTTCGCCGCTGCCTTTTATATAATTTATATTGTTAATTCCTTGCAGCCTGCCAAGCAGGCACCCTTCAACCCCCCCCAACCAGCCAGAGTCCCACTCCCTTCTGTTTTCCGCCCATCAGCGGCTACTATAAAAGCTTCATAAACATTTTACAGCTTGCAGTTGTTGCAGGAAACTGCGCCAGGCCCGTAATTGCCAGCCAGCCATTTTCCAGTTTAGCCAGCTAGAAAGCCAACTAGCTAGATTATGAGGCAAGGGGCGAGGGGCGAGGGCCAGCGGGCTAGGTAGTGTGCTGTGCGCCTTTACGGCGTTGTCAAATTCTTCTTCTGTAAAAGAAACTTTTATCATACTCGCACTTAAAGCGGTCGCATTTGTTCACAAAAATATTTAAATAATATAATCTTGAGAAAAGGTTGAACACATTTCTCTGGCGCTTTACTATAATTTCCACCAATTATTCCTATAGAGCAGTAATAATTAAATGACATTCAAGTCACAGTTAGTCACTGTCAAGGAAAATATTGTTGTATTGTTGTACTTATTTAAAAACCCTAGCTCTATGTAAGCCTTTACTAACATATAAATGTCAAATCCATGTTTCGTAATCCGTTATCGCAGATCCTGGCCCATTATGGCAGCCCCGCGACAGAGTTTAATTGGGCCACGTTGTTCACCTGTTTGTTGCCCGAGGTGTAAATTACAAATCTGAACCGCGCATAATGAATGAAGCAGGCCGAGTGACAAAATGGAAGCCTAAATGAAATGAAATCGCAGTGAAAACGCTTCTATTTAAAACCTGGCCAAGGCTTGGACAAAAGTTTTCACGGAGCGCGACAAACTGCGGTCCAAGTTGATTAGAAAGCGGCCGCACATTGTCGCCTGGGACTGAAAGTGGGAAAGTGGAAATGAGGGAATGAGGAGGGACTACGGGAATCTGCCATTGGCAGCAGCCTAATGAGAAACTTGAAAATTTACGGTCAACGAGTTGTCAGAGTTCCGGCACCGGGGCATAGTTTCAGATGCCAAGTCAAACAATTAAGCGCTGCTCAGCGCCCTGTTCCCAATGAATTCCCATTTTAAATAAATAATTGCCAACGAAATTAAGCAATGACAGGGGGGAGTTGAAGGGGAATGGCAGGGAGGCTATAATCTCAGAGCTGGGACAGGCACAGGAACTGAACTGGACCTGAGCCTGGCGAACGTAATGCGGCGATAGCTGAAGTAATGACAGGAAACAGCGATAAAAGAGAAAAAGAAAACGCATGCATTAACATTGATAAGAACCGAAGGATGACAGCAACAAATAAAAATAAAAAGGAGGCCAAAAGCGGCTCGGACAATCGTCAACTAAATGTTCATTAGCGCTGATCGGAAACGGAAGCATTCGTGGCCCAAATGACCACGCAGATAGGCAGAAGCAGAAGCTGCAGCTAAACGACTGTGTCACATTCCGCCTGCAAGCAAGACGGAAGTCGCAGCTGATTTCCATGTCACATGGCAGCATAAACACGGAGCGCTTCGCTCCTGCCGACTCATTAATAATTCACCGAGCACAAATGGAGTCCAAAGCATAGAAGAGACAACAGCATCAAAATTAAAGTGCAATCAAATGCTGCTTCAAATTAAGGATACTGTGCCACAAAAGCTTTTAAGTCCTGTCCCAAGCTGAAATAAGTAAAGCCAAATGACAAAGGTTAATGCGAGGACCGCACAATTGAGGGAATCGAACGCCAGCGAGTCCATTAGAGATGGCCACATTATAATAATCCGATTAGTTACACAGGCAAATTGAACGCAACTACCAGTATATTAGTAAATATTTTACATAAAATAAAAAATAAAATAAATAAAATAAAATTAAATAAAATGGTACAAAAATAATTTGTATAATTTCCAACAGCTTCAGGCACACATAAAAAGCCTCTTAATTTGCCAACAGTCTCTGCTGAGTTTGATCCGTGGACCTCTCGCCTATTAGTGCGACGCTCAGACTAAGTTAACTAAGTTAGCTACCTGAGTCGAAAATAGGCAGTCAAATAGTTGATACATATTTATTAATATTCTTTTACCTATCGACATTCAACTAATTATGAAAGACATGAGGCTAAACGAAACCTTATTTTACAATCAGATTTTGGAAAATCCATTTCCTAACTAAATTGTTGTCCAAGCTAGCGGAAGCAAAAGAAGGGCCAAACAAGCAATTAATTTTAGAAATACATATTTTGAGAAAAAACCGAATATTCGGAGAATGTCAGCAAAAGAGAGAATCTCAAGAAATAAGAAGCGAGAAGCGTTTCTAGATATAAACTATGTGAATATATATATCCTACACTTTTCAATAAGTGTGTGCAATTTTAGGCATTGCACTTTAAAACTAGATATTTAAAACATAAATAAAATGTAAACAATATTTTAAATATAATAAGCCGAACAAAATATCACGTAAAAACTGAAAAGCTAATTGACAAAACGTGAGCTCATCATGACATGTCCCGTCTCTCCCGCTTTCTCTTTGTGCAAGCACATGTCCATCTCTAGCTAACACAGCATAGGTCAATGTGGGCCAGTGTGTGTACGTGTGCGTGTGAGCGTGTGCATGTGTGTAAACCATTTTGGCGACCCAACTTGATGCTATCATCAATTGTCAAATAACCAACTGTGTGAGATTTGTACACCAGCTGTGCCCGGCAAGAGCCAAAGCGTTGAAGCGTTCATGGCGTTGCAAATCAACACACACACACACATACAGCAGCACACCACATTCCACACACGCACACACACACACACACACACGCAAAGAACAGCATGCATGTGGTATACCCATAGAACAACTCACTTTGTGGGCTATTTGTTTTGGTCATACGCTCATTTGGCTTTTCCCAGGCAAATCGAATGCGGGACCAGCAATAGGAAAATAAACCCGAAAAAAAGAGAAAAAAATAGAAAAGGCAAACTCAAAAGGTTTTCCAAACGTATCCTTGGACAGGACAAATCGGAATCGGGATCGAAAAGTACGCAAAAATCAAGCGCAAGCGCCGGCCCCAGAGCAGCACAACAAACAAACAAAGAACAGCGGCAAAGAGGTGATAGCGGAGGGGCTAGCCTTAGCACGGGGAACCGCAGGAGTATAACAACAACGTACAAGCCAGCGGAATCATTGGCCAAGGTTGCCATGCTGCCAAAAACCGGGGGCCAAGCACTGAGCTGAGCAATCGTAAATCTTCTTATGTGCAGCAGCATTTTAACGATAATTTGCTTTATTGAAGCAGTTTAGATTTGGGCAGCGGACCGGTCAGAAGCTCGGACCACAAGTCAAACGACAACTAGAGCGGGCTATGTGTGTGCCTGTCTGTTAATACCCTTTGAAAATATTTATAAGAGGGCATATAATTTCGAAGGTATGCGATAAACAGATATACCATCTTCAACTCTATTTAGTATATATATTCTTTGTTGTGATTAGATATACACAGATATATCTTTAAAAATTAGTTGAGCTGTTTGTGCTTTTCTCATGCGCATAGGTATATTTAACTATTTAGCTATCAGCTTTCAAGATATTATATTTCAAAAAGATGTGAAAAAGCCTTAAGATTTCATTAATCATAAAGTAAAGTCTAGAGAGAGGACCATAAATGAGCAAGCATGCATATTAAGACAAGTCAGAGCTGAATGAAGGGTATACGCACGACGAGCAAGCTCTTCTGGGTCATTCTCTTGTTTGGATTACAGTTTGAGTTTGGGCTTGCGCTGAAACTGGTGCTGGGGTTTGGGTTTGGGTTTGCTGACTAGTTTTGGCAATGACCGAGACTGGGTCTTTGCCTTTTGAATGTTTCAACGTTTCCGTTTAAATGGTTTTTATAGCAAATTTATGTAGAGGAAAAACGCTTCTTAGGTTCACCGAACGACCATACGCAGCAATCCGAGACCATAAAAATCGCTCAGAAACACATGCGACCAGTAGCTGGTTTAGTCTGGACCAGCTTTGAGACACCGTCCTCTACCCTTGCCTTTCCTTGTGCTCTTCGTAGGTGTGAACAAAGATTTGCCACTTTTGCTGGTCATTTGGCTCTGCCCGGCCGAATGCCTCAATATGTACCATGAATAATGACCGTACAAATTGCTGCCAGCTCTGGCTGCAACGGCTATTGGTGCTGTTGCAAGTGTTGCAGCTGCAACTTGCCGCTTATATTTTGTTGGCTCTTTTGTTGTTGAAATGTAACCACATGCTTTTAGTTAATTACCGGATTATTTAACTGCCGACAATCAATTGGCAGATACTTGACATAGGTCTAATATACGATTAGACTGTGAGCAGTTAGTTTTTCTATTCAATTTAATTTGAATTGAAGCCTTATCATTAAAAATAAATTAAATGTTAACTGTCTGGTAAATCTTCATTAAATATTATCTTGGAGTTTGTGATATGTATGTATGATTGAATATATTATTTCTATAGTAAATATGTCATGTATTTCTCTATATTCTCTGCCCCAACAAAACAGTCTATATAAAAACGACTATTGCACGTAGATAAGAAATGAAAACTCTACCAAGGCCTTATAATAACGGAAAGGTCAATGTGGAAAATTGGAGAATATATCATTAAGTACATCATACAATTTCATAAAAAGCTCTGAATCCTTAGAGTGGGCTTCCAAACGCTAAAGAACGCAAGCTTTTTCTACATCTTCCTGAGGTCCTTGCGTTCATACATATGAACGGACGGACGGAAAGACAGACGGACATGGCTAGATCAACTCAAACACAAACAAACATTTGCATAAATACACTATACCCTTTCTACACATTTTTATAGGTCTTGGGTATAAAAAATAATAATTATATTATATATTAATGCATTCCCTTAACTGTCTCAAATTCTTTATTGTCTTTATATAATAAAATTGTAAATTTAAATTGATTGGTATAAATTTATTAATTTACTAATTAAATATTGAATTAAATATTCTTGCATTCCCTGTGCTTGCATTCCGTTAACACTTTAATATCTGTCTCGAATTCTTTATAGCCCTACTTAATTAAAATATTTTCGCATGCCGGGACCGGAAATATGAAAAATTCCAGCAAAGTGGGCCTCATAAATTCACATCAAATAGTAGCCAGAAATAAATCTGTTCATAAGTGCGCGAAGTGTACTGGAATTTAATGAATATTTCAATTAAGACATTAATTAAAAATGTTTAAAGAGTTAACGAAATAATGAAGCATGCATAATTAATAATATATTATGCATACTCCCGAGGGACACACTATTTAATTAATTTAACTAAATATATATTTGTCATTTGAATAAATTATAGAAACATATTTATATATATATCGAATTTAAGAAACTGACCTTTTGCTGATATCGATTTTTTAATTTCGCCAGCTCATGAGACTTTGCATGCATTACTTCCGCTGTTGACATATCTTGCATAATAAACAAATTTTCTTATTTATGCGCCACACAGAAAACTCTCACTTAACTGCATATATTTGTGTATGTGTGTGTACGTCTGTACATTGCTGCACTTTCTCTGGATGTGGCTGCAATTTTATTTTTATGCCGGATGTGTACGTCAGTGCTGTAGGCCTTTGAATTATGTTAAGCTTTGTGACGGCACTTTTATTCACAGAAACACGCACACATACAAAACAAGCCCCCCAGCCACATACATACACTCACCCACACACATACATACGAACATACATACGCCAACGCTATGCCTTGCGGCTGGCTGGCAAGTGACATTTGCCGGCATAAAAGTCAACAACTCTTGGTTGTTGTTATTGCGAGAGTGACTGTGGCTGTCAACAATGCCAAGGTGGTGCCTGGCCGTAGGCATTCCATTGCTGACTTTGTGGCCGAGAGCCACTTACAAGTAATTCACATGCACCTGTTACTCATACGACCCGTTGCCCAGCTAAACAGCGCACGTAATTATTTTTACTCAGCCTAATTTGCAGGCCGACTGAAGCGGCCCATAAGTAAACAGGCATACACAAATATGTATATGTATATGCATATATTTATTAACATAAATATATATGACCGGCAGCTGTTGCCGCCACAACACATGAGACAAACAATTGGGCATAT